CTCTAGCTAGACACGAGTTGTGATCGCATGGTAGCATACCATGCGATTGCATCGCCAAACGATTTTGTGGGCTGCTTTTTCAAATGATGTCTTGCAACCGTAATGATGGTATGCCCATGTGGTTGAATGGCGTATCAACATTTTTTCCTACCTCTACAATGTGTTTTCTTGAGTCTTTTGATGATCCAAAACCCTGATTTACGTGTAAAAGTATTTTAAAGTTGGTAGTCAAAATAAAACATGTAAATCGCCTTATCATAAAAGGCATAATTTTATATATTTTTGCCCCTCAAAATCACAATTTTCACACTTCCACACAAAACTGCACATTTGAGCTCCCAATGATTATGCAATGCACACTGTGTTAGACTTTGGATCAGGTACAAACCACCTTAATGACGTGTGGTAGGGATGAAAATATCCTAGATCTACCATGCAAACAAGAACAACAAAACTATCTAAAATTGAAATCCATTGATAGTCCATAAATTGGTTTCTACAGGAAATTCATCTGAGCAATTACATTTAGTAATTTCTACCTACAAACCATATGTTTTTATCTGAAACAAGAATGCCTTTTTTCAAGTTTTATGTTACATTGCAAAAGGGTTCTTCCATAGACATTGACTCTAAAGTTCTAAAAAGAGGGCATCGATCAAAGCATGAACATGAATTACCCTCAAAAGCTGGCAAGAAAATCTTACTTTTAACAACAAATCTCTGTAGAAATGAGCTGAAATGTTGATTATTTGATTCTCTATTTGTTTCTTCTAGATACTTCTACACATATATACAATGCGTAAAGCAGTGCATCTTCATGGTAACATTTCCGCTCAACCTAAAGTCGAACTCGTTGGAAGTAAAATCACTTAGTGGAATGATAAAGAACATCAGATTTTTCTGGTTGTAGTTGAACTTATCGTAGCAGAAGGACATCGAAATGAAAAATGCTTTTTAAGGTGTGCGTGGGACAAACTAGTAGCATTGTTCACCATGAAAGGTAAATAAGAATTGGAACCATGTCCAGTTGAAAAATCAAAGGTGACTTATGCGAATTGAACACAAACAACTCCATGAGTTGCTCCGTTTTACAAGAATCACATATGGCTTCAATAATGAAAATTGAATTTAGGCTGATGATGACTGGTGGGAAAGAAAAATAAAGGTACTTTATATCAATACCCGTTTAATAATTGTGCTTTTTTCGCTTAATTTTCATGGGATGATTATGAGATATTTGATTATGTTAGTTTAGGAAAAAAGAAATATTTGCAGTAGTTTAATCTTCGGTCCCGTTCTCGTAAATTATGAATGATGAAATGCATAAACGAGTCATTTTATAATTTTATTATTTTGTGATTCTTGATTCCATTCCCTATAGATTTAGTATTGAAATACCTAATTAATTAATTTATCATGATTTATTTTAAGACTTGGGATAAGCTCACCTCATTTTCTTTACATTTACTATTTACCTTCAACATGATGTTTAAGTAATGAAGTAATTTACAATACTTGATTTATTTTGCCCTTGTTAGGTCCCCATTATTTTCAAAATATATATTTCTCTCACTTATTTTCAACCACACATTTTTCAATAAAATAATATTACACGTAAATTCAAAATATTTCCTTATTTTTTTAGCCACACATTCTCCATCAAAATACAATTTCAAAATGTATTTTGTGCAAAAATGAGGCTCAAACAGGCTCTTCATTTTCAAGATTTTGATTTGTGCTTGAAGTTTTGGAATTTTTAAAATGGACTTGTAAAAACTTTGAATTTGTAGTTGCATGATATTGTTGAATCTATAGATGTGTTGAACTTCAATTAAAGGACTGGCTTATGATGAGTTTTTTTTTAATTATATGGTGGAATTGATCAGATACATATGGATGTTTTTTTATGCAAATGGGTGTTAAAATACATATTAATATATTCATATGACTTCTGATGGTGCAAAATTGAAATTATTACAAGCCCGTGTTTATGCATAATATGCATTCTTGCGGCAATGTGATGTGAATGGTATTTGAAACTTCCTCCATTTATTTCAATGTAGGATAATTCAAAGTATGTAAGGCTTAAGATTCATGACTATGGTGAGATCTACCCCAAGTATGATAGGCTCTTTTAGGACATGTTGGATTCCTAGAAATGTCTTGAAATCTACAAATCTATCCTTGCACGAGTTTGGTTTGGATACTAATAGTAATACGGATGATAACAACGTTAAGTTACCAATCAATGTTGAAACAATTAACTCTAGTGATGGCACATTAAAGGACAAGTGAACTCTGAGATGGATAAAAAAAAGTGTTTATGTCGATGGATCAATTAGCCAGCATTGACGAAGACCTCGCTTCCACCAGTCGCGCAAGTGACAAATATATTATGACCATGGACAAATGTATTAATGAATCATTGGTGATAGACCAAGAAATCGAAAAAGGGAAATGACTTATATTTATTTGCTCTATCTTTCTTTGGAGTCCTTAAGAATAGGAAATCGTTTTGTGCAGCCAAAAATGAGGCACCAAACTGAAGTGGATCACTTTTCAGCTATAGTAATTGGGTGAAACACGGTTCAGCAATCTCTTAAGATCCTTTAATTTGTGTTAATTTGGTCCCCCATTATTTCTCAAATATATTTTTCTTTATCTTATTTCAATCACACATTCTTCAATAAAATAATATTACACACAAATTTAAATCTTTTGCTTATTTTTTAACCACATATTCTCCATCAAAATACTATTTCAAAATGTATTTTGAAAAATGCGGCCTCAAACATGCTATAGTTTTTGCTAGTTAATGTTCAACCGTATGTGTGCATGATCCTTTTTTTGAGATCAATTTGGTTGTTGGGACAATGCAAAATTTGAGTGCAGTATTTAGTTCTGTCAAATTGAATGAATCCCTTGGAATATATGTTTTAGATTCATTACATTTCATTGTTAATGGTGTAGGAAATATTGCATGAATTCACACTACAATTTAGAAATACTGGTAAATCAAAATCAATCACACTTACGGTGCAAAATGAGTTCACGATATAAATAACATATGGTTATCACAACCATTTCAATTGATTTACAAGCATTTTAGTACCATTCAATTCCTCCATTACCATACACAATCGCTACAACCTCTCAAGCATTGTCCATCTTTATTTTTTCAATAAATCAGTGTAACAATTATATTGCCAATGTTATTCTACCAAAATAACGAAGTTCGATTTCAACTGCAGTCTAATCATAGTTTTGTTTCAGATGATGATTCTGGTTATGACGTCCTTATGCGACAGTTGGAAGAATATGCAGGTACATCTCAGAGCATATGGTTCATCATTACATGTAAAGTTTCGGGGACATACATATTTATTCCTTGCAACACATGGCAATCACATATTCATGCTCTAGAATATGCACGTGTAACCTCAAATGTGCTTCCAAGAATATCAAATGTATCCACTGATATTAATGCATTTCAAGCATTATTCTATGTGATGAGTATGGTTCAAGAAGCAGAGCAAATATCGAGCTTTATGAATATTTTTGTGTGTACTTACTCATGGCAATAGTTAACGACAGATACAAATGCATTTCGAACATTCATTGCATACAATTAGTCATTACTTCAAGATTGTGATGCAATTTGTTGTAATGTTTGCTGAACGTATGGCTGAACCGAATTCATATTATAATCAAAGTCCGAAAAATCACCGTCCAAACCTCGAGCAATAAATCATTTTCCAGGTTGACGAAAGTAATTGACTTGTAACTACTATCTTTTTTGAAATTATTCTTTATGATGATAAAATTTTCTATAAAGTTGTAATGCAAATTGAGATATTGATGTAACACATGTTAAAGACATGTTAAAGACATGCAAATTGAGATATTTTCCATATAGTATTGTTCTTTATTTTTCTTTTCTTCTGTGTTTATTTAAATAGGAAGATATATTGATTATTTTACATTAAAAATTTGTGAAAAAGATGTTTTCTATAATGAAACGTGAAAATATGAGTGAAAATGTAAAAATTTGAAACGTAGAGATATTTAACACACTACAAGTCAAGCATAAAGACGTTCCTGGAATAGTATTTTTAAGAGAATGTATGATTAAAATATAAGAAATTTTTTCGATTTATGTGTAAAATTATTTCATTGGTGAATATGTAATTAAAAAATAAATTTTTGATAAAATGAAACTCAAACAATAGCTTACCAATTGTATACTTTTATTTATAAAGCGATAAAATAATAATTTTGGAACCTAAAACAATATGGAAACAAAAATTTAACAATACTTAACCAAATTTTCCCATAGTTGAATTTTTTAGCAATAAAAATTGAGAATCTTAAAAGCACAAGACCAAACGAAACTTGACTCGTAATACAGCAAATGCCAATGGACGATTGCTTAAATTTCCAATTATGGTTTCTTCCTCTCAAATTCACTTAAAACCTATTTGGTTTATATTAAAATCATATTAAAATTTCAAATCAAAATCAATAATTAATTTTAACCACTTATTTTATGGTATTTAGTATTCACAATTTACACTTAGATTCTGATTTTGGTTTAAAATAGGTATTTAGTATTCATAATTTAAAAAACTTAGATTCTGATTTTGGTTTAAAATAGGTATTTAGTATTCATAATTTAAAAAACTTAGATTCTGATTTTGGTTTAGAGCCTGTTTGAGAGTGATTTTTTTTCAAAAAATTGATTTTTTGACCGTTATTTCATTATTTCAGCCGTTATATTTGACTTTTTCTCTCACAAGTAAATCATATTTTTCTCCTAATGTTCAAAAAATCAATTTTAAAAATCACTTCCAAACATGCTCTTAATTATATTTCCTTATTCATTTATCAATCCCTAATCCTCAGATTGTTTTCTGTATGACGCCACGTGGAGCGATGCACGTTAAATGGATGCAAACCTATTTATAATCCGCTCTTTATTCTTCATTTCTGTTCCGCCTATTCTCTCTCCTCTTCCCCTCGGCACCCCCCCCGCCCTCTCTCTCTCGAATTCTCACTCACAAACCCTACACCCTATTTTTCCAGATTTTATTTAATTAATCCAAGATTTTTTAAAGGATTTCTCTCTCTTTCTTTTTTTTTTCTCTGAAACTTTGATTTTCCAGAGATGGCCAATTCTACCACCAGCACCGTTTATGCCCACGTTATTGAGGACGTCATCAACAAGTGCCGCGATGAGTACACCGACAATGGTGGTCCTGGCGACAATGTTCTCAATGAGCTCCAAGCAGTAATGATTTTTTACTTTGATTTAGTTCCTAATAATTTTTTTGTCCAGCTAAATAAATTTGTTGCTTCGTTGTCGTTTTTGGGTCTTTTTTAGAAATTACTGAATTTTATGTATTGTGTGTAAAAAAGGGATTTTTTGGGTAATTTGATTTGTGGGTTTAAGATGATCTAAGTTGTGATTTTATAAGTCTTGGATCGGTTGATGTGGAATTTCACAGTTGATGGTGTGTTTGTTGGTGGAATTTATAGTTATGGGAGTTGAAGATGATACAAGCAGGGGCAATCGTGGGCCCCATAGACAGGTCTGCAACCCAAAAGCCCGCACCTGGGGGTCCCATTCCTCCTAACCCAGTGCGTGACCTCAATGTTCCCTATGAAGGCACAGAGGAGTACGAAACTCCGACTGCTGATTTACTTTTCCCTCCGGTGAGCCATCGATTTTTCCATTTCGTGCAGCGGTAATGTGAAAATTTATGTTAAAAATGAAATTCTTTTAGATATACTAATTAACTTAAAAATTTCTTCTTTGGTACACATAGACTCCTTTGCAGACGCCACTGCCAGGGACAACACAGACTCCGTTGCCTGGAACTACCCAGACTCCTCTTACTGGAATGTCTGACAGCAGCTCGTTGTATAACATTCATACTGGCGGAACCCCGATAACCCCAAATGAGTATTCATCTGTGAATGACAATAGTGGGGTTCCCGACATGAGAGCTGGATCTGCAAGACCCAGCCCATATATGGTACAATCTTTTGCAGTATCTTTTCTTTGGCCTTTTATTATGGATATGACTTTTATTTGGAATTTCAAGTTGAGGAAGTTTCTTAGATATTTTCGTATACCCATCCTTTAAATCTGCATATGGGTTTAAACCCAGTGGTTTTAATATTGAATTGAATGTAGTAGACCTTTATTTTGAAATTAGATGACTATGTATAATGTATATTATTTTCTTTCATGGTGGGTGGTAGAAGTTCAAATTTTTCTGTTACTTATGTGGCAGGCACCTTCGCCCTGGTTGAATCAAAGGCCTCCTCTTGATGTGAATGTTGGTAAGCATAATGTGTGAAGAGCCTTATAAATAATTATCAATGAAATGTCCAATTAAACACACAAAAGTTGGTAACACAGTTTTAACGATTTCCTTTTCCAATTTTTTCCCCCCTCCTCCTGAACATTAATGGTTATTTGCAGCTTATGTGGAAGGCCGGGAAGAGGGTGAGAAGAGGGCCCCTCATCTTCCTTCAACACAGGTGACTATTATTTGTGGTTCAGGTTGACATTTATTGAGTTACTAGTATTTTACACAAAGAGGACTGTAGTACATTTGTTGCGCTAATATATTCTCTTATTTGCAAGAGATCGATGAAGACATAATTTTTCTGTTTCCTTAATTGCCTTTTGTTCTTTTCCGAAAAGGAACTTTTTAACTCACATGTAAAACTGCATACATATTTGAGGAAAGTTTATGCAAACTAGGTACAGAATATGTAAAGCCAATTTAGAGAAGTGGTGTTTGATCTCCACCTGACCATCTCCAAGCTTGGCTCTAACTTCTTAACTTTGTTAAGATAATGCAAACTCTGCAATCACTTCCAGTGAAGAAGAAAAGGGGAAAACAACAGCATGTGAGATATGTCAATTTGGTTCATAGTATTAAAAAAGTGAAATTATTGATTGGCTGAATGCTCAGTGACAGTTAGTATGGAATTTGTACCATATTACAGAGGGTAACTGATGCTCTGCAATGAAAAATCCTGCAGCAAATTGAATTTTGTGTTACACCATACTAGTTGTTGATATTAGTGTCCAAAGTGTTGTAATTCAAGGAAACTTGTGAATAGGATACTTGTTAAGGAGATGTTCTGCACGATTGGCAAGTATAATTTGCTATAATATTGAGGAAAACCTAGTGGCGTTCAAGGCATTAGGAAAGTGAGTGTGTTCACTGCTGTTGCTTTGCAGTTACCAATCTTCCTGTATTATGAGGAACCTTGAGATAATTTCATCAGATGACAATATTTAGATGTACATCGCCAAAAGGAAGTAATATAAATGATCTGATTCATTAAGAAATTGAGACGTCTGACTTAAAAAGAAAAATGACGAAGAATAGAGAAATTGGATTCACGTGAGAGAGATTGAGAGAGACCTGTGTGACAATGACAAGTAGGGCTCTTATTTCGTCTTATCTCTTGTTTAAAGTGCTCCTTTTGCTTTCATTGCTTGTATTGAAAGCTTTAGCTTTTAATCTGGCGTTTCCTAAAACAACCTCCTCCCTCAACAGTGGAGGCAATAAAATTCTATCCTTTTTTTGGCTAGTGGGAAAACTTCATTAATTTCTTTCATCATTTTCTACTTTCTTTGTCACGATTCTACCCATTCAGATTTCTTTCTTAGTGCTTTCTCTACAGTTATTCAAACCTTTTTTACTTCCACTTATTCCACGAAAATCCAGATTTACAGTGTGAGTTTCCTTGACAAAAAATGGACAAATATGACGAAAACTGTGCCAAGTGCACAGTTGAGTATCAAGGGATATATATGGGGAAATTTGCATTATTTGTCTCTACATTTGTGAAATTTAACAAATCTACCCTTCACATTATTTTAGCATATTTATTTCCTTTCCTCCATTTTGACCATTAAATTATGGATCTGTCAATTTCCCTAGTGCTTGTTTGTGGGGATTAAAATAAAAATTTTAATAGATTTTGATAAAAGTTAATGAAAGTTATGGGTTCCATAAAATATGTGGTTAAAATTAATTATTGACTTTGACTTAAAATTAATTTCTACCAAATAGTGGCTAAATAAACAAAAATAAAAGAAAGCAGTCAAACACCAAAAAATGAAGAAAAGTTGCAAATGGAGATGAATAAATTTCACTTAAAATAATAAAATACATATTAACACAAAAAAAAAAAAAAAAGAATTTAAAAAATTTCATCAATCCACCCTATCTGCGTCCAAACACCATCACCATGCTGGTGATTTTTATTAATCAAATATTTTAATTTGCCATAAAAAATATGAAAATGCAAGTATCATTATAGATAAAATACATAAACAAAATAAATTTTTGAAAAATTCTTTATACCACTAAATGCTTGGCCTACTATGTCCATATTTGTCAAACGTAGCTTAATTAGTGTTATGATAATTACATAAAATTGTCCATTTCTTGCGTTTTTTGCCACGTCAAATTAATTAAATTGCCATCATTATAAGAGAAAAATAAAGTCAACCAATTATTAATTTTAAGAAAAAAGGAGTCCATCCATTTTGTATTGTATCAAGCTGGTGTTTGGCCTCGAGTAAGGGTGGAGGATGGAATAGATGGGTACGATGGGGTTGGTGAGCTTGGTTGGGAAAGTTGAATTGGTTTTATTTGTTTGTGTTAATATGTATTTAATTGTTTTAAGTGAGATTTATTTGAATTTTATGAAAAATTACGGGGCTCCATTTGCCATTTTCGTTAATTTTATTGCTTTATTTTTATTTATTTAAAGAGAAGGGAAAATCCATCATTGAATGGTCGAAATGAAAGGAAGGATGAGTATTGCTACATAATTGAAAGGTTGGGACGGATCAATTGGTACTAGGATTCACCTTAAGTCTTTCATAATGCAGAGGTTTTGGGTTCGAATCTTGGTGGACGTGATAGAAATTTGTGAAAGGTAAAATTGGTTTCAGGCTCTCATAGAGCAAACATTATGTATGATATAATAGATTGGACACAGATGCTCGGATCATTACAAAAAGTTCTCTTTTTTTTTTTTTTTTTTTTTTTTTTTTTTTTTTTTTTTTTTTTTTGTAACGGCTCGAGCATGGCGTCCATGTCGTTATATCATACTACTGTTTGCTCTGGAAGAGACTTGCTTAATTAAAATCAAGATTTAATTTAAATCTATCATAAGAGATCTCGAGTTCAAATTCTGGAGGACGCGACAGAAAGTTGTGAGGGATGAGATAAAATTAGGCTCTCCAAGAGCGGACCTAGGTCGTTACAGTACATTTCAACACAAATCAATAAAATAATATAAAAGAATGTAAAATTCAAAGTTATACTCGTAATAACCATTCATATTGAAAATCCATAATAAAAAAATTAACAAAATAAAAAATTAACTTGCGCCCAAACATAAAGTAGATCAAGAAAGTAGCAAAAAAGGTTTTCACATTAGTAATAATAACATAACAAATTGTAATATACTACTAGGAGTAGAAACATCCTAGAAGTCTCCAATATCATCACTACAAATAGGATTTTTAATTAAATTGTCAAAATATCAGTTTCTGCTATCATTATCCCCATACTGTCAATTTCATCTCATTCTTTGACATCATTTTTCAATTGCAATGTTTGCCTTCTCTTTCCTCTCCCAAAAGAAAAAAAGGAAAAAAAATATAAGATTTTGCACCCAAATATAAAATTAATCAAAAGACATAGCAATATTGTAATCTACTACTAGGACTAGGAGTAGAAAAATCCTAGAAGTCTCTATTATTATGACTGCAAGTAGGATTTTGGATTGAATCATCAAAATATCATATTTCACTATCGTTGTTAATTTATTCTTATTCATTGACATCATTCTTCACTTGCAATGGTGCCTTCCCCTTCCCCCCCTCAAAAAAAAAAAAAAAAAAATTTATATATGTACTCAGAATACTCCAGACAAGACAAACTCATGTCTTAGCACCTCTGAGATTTAGTCTAGAGGCGTAAGCCTTGAGGCATTTAATGAAAGCGGCGAGGCTCTCCCCGAGGTTGCGTGGGTAGAGGGGCATGGTCAAATTAAAAAATCATGTGGATATGTCTAAATCATCTCTCTCTCTCTCTCTCTCTCAATTATTGGAGAGCACTCTATGATGCATGGTTTTTACCTTGGTGCCAGACACATTGTCAATCTTTCCAGTTACATTAGAGGGAGGAGAAGATAATAAGCAGACATTAAATTTTACGGCCTTTGCATAAAGTCAATCTCTTTTATGCCCATTACATATTTGGCTTCAAACCTAGATCCCCAATTATTCTTGGATTTATATCTCTGGAAGATGATGGAGTACAACCTTTATATCTACTACGCACGTCGGATTCTTCAAATATGCTTGCCTGTTTTTGTTTTTCTATCAGAAAATTAGTTTATTAATCATGATATGATGAGCATGTCTATTTTGGTTTATATGGAAATTCGAGATTCTACTTCCTTTTAAATTGAAAATGTGATTCTGTTCGGTTTAGTAATGAATGTTTAACTTATTAGAAGAGATAGAAACCAATGTTTCTTTAAACCCATATGTCATGTTATGATTATTAAACCGGTGCTCAATTACCTTAAGCACCATCAAAGCTCAATTTCATTACTATTTTGGGACTTAGGAGAGAAAATGAACCATTGCTTAGAACAGTACAGAAAGGAAAAGGAGAGAAGTTAGATGCATCATTGCTTGACGTCTGATCTGGTGAATGTGGTAGAGCAATAAATTTCTGATTTGCTCACCAAATGATAGTGCAGAATCAACAATGTAAGTATGCAACCATTAAAAAGAAAACTTGGTGGTGAATATTTATTGATAGGCTAAGTAACTATGATAGAAATGAAATTTTGTTGTGGACTTGTTAGGGTTGTTGGGAGATTGTTTGAATACATTGTGATGGAAAGAAAGCTGCTCTTCTTTATATATTGTTTTTGTTCCCTTATGATATTTAAATTTGAGGATTAATTCTGTCATCCAATGTTTTTATAAGGGAAAATATCCTCTTTTGCATATGTTTTCGCATGAAAAATTTCCTTCTACTGTTATTTTTTTAGTTACACTAGTATGGGCATTGCAGGATTTCTTCACAATGCCTTCTGGAAAGCGAAAACGGGAAGACTTTCCTTCACAACAGCACCCTGAAGGATACATCCCACAGCAAGATGGGGCTGGAGATATATCTGATGATATGAAGGTAGATCTTTTTCACTCTGAAGAATGCATAATTCCTTAGCGAACTTGTAGTTAACAACCTATGAACCATTGACCGACATGCTAATTCTGGATAATATCTAGAGCTCTCATCTTTCCCCTATAGATTTGATCGTTAAAAAGTTATTCTTTCAAGACATTATATAAACATTTTGCTACAGATCACATATTTAACACTTTTATCTTACTGGGGTGTAATTGAGGCTTAATAGAATGCCTTTTCTTGATCTTTTGGAAAATTATTGACATGTTACCTACATCCTTAATTCTGGATATTTTCTAGATTTCTATTCTTTCCCCTGTAGATCTGGTCATTAAAAAATACTGGTTATTCAATATTATCATAACATTGTTCTACAGAATATGTGCTTATGTTTTTAATATTGAAGCTTAATAAAACACACCTCAAATCTTTTGGAAAATTGATGTCATGTGCTTTTATACCTTGTCCTGAGACGGCCTTTCATTCTCCATTTTCTTCTTCTTGCTTCATTATTTGCTTTTCTTAATGGTTTCTGGTTTTTTTCAGATATTTTAAGTAAGCTAAGATAATCTGTTTTGCGAATTTTAACTTTTTGAGGATGGTCAACCGGAAATAATTCATGATAACTAGCCTTGGAAATGCCTGAAACTTTCACGCATCTGGTTTTTATGTGGATAAATCTTCTGTCTGCATTTTTTTTCTCGTAGTGCCATATGTCAAATGATATGAACTCCTGAATTTACCTGCACCTTTGCAACCCAAAAGTATATTTTTTCAAATGATTTGATTTTCCGTTTTTATTTAGTGCTTTCCTATGAAAAGTGGGAAGCTCCTCTTGATTTATGAGTAATGACTTGGTGACAAATTGTCCTTTAGGCTAACTTTCTTCGTTCTTGAGGAACAGCCAGATTATGAGACATTGATTAAATACATTGGTTTCTTAACACCTCCTAGTATTGTTGTTCTTTCCATCAAACATTGCTTTGTCAAGGGGGAATATAAAGAGCTCCTGATCTTGGTTGTCACGAGACAGATGCAATACACCTAAGTTCAGTTGCTATTTGAAATGCATAGAATTTCTCTCCTCTGTAACATGGAAAGCTGAAAAAGTGCTGGAACAAACAGAAACAGGAGCCAAAAGGAAAAATTGATGTTGATTGCATTCTTTTTGGGGTTATTCCCACTTTTCATGCTTTATGCTAAACATAATTGGCACATTTGCATAGGATGAGAAAAGGGAGAAGCAATGATATATTTGGATGCTAGGTTTGAGGATTAGGTCTTCTTTGTGGAGAGTGCAGTTGTGTATGCTGTTGCTGTGGTTGACTAGTTGTATATGCTAGGTTTGAGGTTTAGGCCTTCTATGTGGAGAGTGCAGTTGTATATGCTCTTGCTGTGGTTGAATAGAGCATGGTTCGTACTTGTTTTAGTGACTTGTCTCCTTATGGAGTAGATGGCAACATAGAATTAGTCACTTGACTCACTTGGCGGGTCATTTTGGTTGACCTTGTATTGTATTTACAGTTTGGATTACCTCTTGGATGGGTTATTCGTGTTTGATTCTCTTTTCTATTTTCTGCATCTTTATAAACTGCTTCATGGCGTTTGACAGGTAGATCAAGAGAGCAGCAGTCAGCATGTTTTGGTAAATTCTACGAAAAAGATGGTTGTTCAAAGGGAAGGATTGTCTTCTAGGATTCCTCAGTTGGATGGTCCCATACCCGATCCATACGATGACATGCTTTCTACACCTAATGTAAGTTTCTCTTCTTTGTCCTTGAAGTTTATGTGTGTGTGCATTGTGAATTTGTTCTTTGCTTTTTTTTTTCCCACTCAAATGTTGATAGAGTAAATGGGTGTAATGTTGTTTTCGCTAGATGGATTTTTTGTATTTTTTTTTATTATGGTCCATGTAGCACGCGCCTTTCATTTGATTGCATTTTTCTTATGACACGTGTTTTTCCCTAGTTTTATGACAAACCACACAACTTTTATGACAGGTATCCATTACTGTTTCTGTTGCTAAGCAGGCATGTGTTGACTTTGAGATTGATATGTCATTGTAGTAGATAAAAATATTTATAATGTAGAATAAGTGCCTTTGGCTGGTGATTGAAAGGTTTGCACAAAGAGTATTATTTAAAGAACTTTTTGTACTCCTTGAAGGTTAGCTGAATGCCAAATTTTACTGCAAAGGAATGCTTGTTCTTTGAACAATGAAGCATATGTTAAATATGGAAGGGCTTTAATTGATTCACTTGGATGCCAAATTCAATATCCTAAATGGAAGTTTAGCATCTGTAACAGTTTATTATCATTTTTTACTATGTTAGAATGGATGAAATTATTGTTCTTTTGGCCTCTTCTACATTACCTCTGAGACAATTCAACTTCTAGCCAAAAGACGTTAATTTTAATTTGAAAAGGAAGGATTCAACTGTAACTCTTCTTTTTCGTTTGCTCTTCTCTTTCGTTTTCTTAATCCGCATTTAATCCACAGAGATGTAATTTGGGAACAAATTCTTATCATATATTACTTTGGGAACAAATCCATGTATCATGGAACCCTTTCACCACTATGGCTTAGCAGGATAAATAGCAAACTAAGCTTTAAAAGTTTCCTTAGAAGTAAATCATTCAGTTTTAAAATAAAAACAACTTTCCACGGATGTAATTGTGTAACGAACTTGTCATGTCTCTTGAAACCCTTGCACGAGTATCAGTTGGCAGGATTAATACTATATTTAATTTTATTTAGGGAAAATTGCAGTAGCGGTCCCTAACTTTTTGATTTTTAGCAGACTTTACCTTAACCGCCACCACTGAACCCGAACCAGATCAACTGCCACCGCCCCCAGCGCCACAGCCTCCAATGACCTTAAACGCTGCCGCCACCCACTCTCTCCACCATGTAACAACTTTTTGAAAGATTATATTTCCAAGAACATCAAAAGATCAAATGACCAGCGGAAATAAACAAATAAAAAAATGTATAGTGAAATTTTGCAGCTGGGTTTCCATTCCTTGGGATATTCAATAATTGAATCACCATTAAGACACAAGTTTCGCACTTAGTTTCAATCCAAAATCTAAAATTCTTTAATTCAGCTTCTCCAATTCTTCATAAACTACCCTGGTGGTTTGTTGGAATTCGGATGGGTTTGTTGGGATTTAGACCAAAATGATTAGAAAACTAAACCACTGCAAACATTAACCTATATATATTACTGGTAAAATCAGTATCTAAGACGGTGACGAGCCCGAGAGAAAATGTCTGCAACAATAAAGAACACTGAACAATTGTCTCCAACGATGGGTCTTAAAAGGAAAAAAAAATGCGGCTTCTGTTTTTGAGGATTAGGCAGCCGAATTTGTCAATGAGAGCCTCATGTTCTTCGGGTGCTTCCTTGGATTCTTTGCACATCCGGGCTTCCAATCGATAAGGATTATACAAAATATTTTGATGTTTTGGTAGGGAAGATCGTGGCGGTGGCTATGGAAGGAGGCGGCGGCGGAAATGGATAGTTGATTTGGTTTGAGTTTGGCAGAGGTTGGTCGGGGGTGGAGGGGGATGGGGAACAGTGCTGTTTTGTTTTTCTTTATTTATTTTTTAAATTAATTTATGTTAAAATAGAGATGTTACCATTTCTTCCTTTTTAAATTTGGTCAAAATCAATTCTTTAGTCAACTAACGGTCAAATGGATCCATCCATTTGTCCTTGTGTTACAATAAAATGAAAGGTTTGGGACCTCTGGTGGCACAAACTAAAAATTAAGGTGAAGTCTTCTAAAAATCAAAATGTTTGGGATCCCTGTTGCAATTTTCCCTTTTACTTATTGTCAAAGTTGGATATAAGTAAGCTGTTTTGACGTTAAGGTAAGAGTTACTTTCAGTATGAGTATTTTTTTATTTGTATTCGAGAAAAAAAATCCTATCCTAACATGCTTGGAATTAAAGTAAGCTTAGCCAAGCATACTCCTCTCCTCTATTGCTATTTAAATTTGATTCACCATTTATTTGTAGAAGTTGACAATATCAATTGGAACCCTTCTTGAAGGACTTGGAAATTTTATACATGAGTTCCTTCAAAAATTTTTTGTCTGTTATTTATCACATGGAACTGGTTTTGGTCAACGATATCCTTGCTCCTGAACCTGGCACGTTAGCTAACTTTTTAGTATTTGCATAAGTTGTTTCTCTGCCTTTTAAGTTGTATGTTCTGAGATGCTTCAAAATATTTTACCTTTTAAAGCCATTGCCTTCTTTTAATGTTCCAGAGGAATTTCTCTTTCATCTAAATGTGGAGGGGATTACAAGACTGAATCTCATTTTTACTAATTAGCTTCCAAAACTTTGAATTTTGTTTCAAGTTAAATGAAATGCTATGGAGACAATTTGAGAGTTTTGATTGACACTTGATCGACTACTATTAAAAAAACTGAGTTCTCGGTGGTGAAAAAGCCGCAACATGGTGCATTTGATTAAATGCTATGGAAACAATTTGAGATTTTTGATTGACACTTGATCGATTAATATTAAAAAAACTGCGTTCTTGGTGGTAAAAAAAGCCGTAACATGGTGCATTTGATTAAATGCTATGGAACCAATTTGATTGACACTTGATCTACTAATATTGAAAAACTGCATTTTCGGTGGTAAAAGAGCAGTAACATGGTGGATTTGTATTGTAATGGCTGATAACAAGTTTGAAAACATTGTTATTCAATGTGCTTCATTTCAATTGGCATGTGCATATCCTGACCAGGATCTTTCATATGCAGGCTACCATTTCATCTTAAGTGTTTCAATTTTCACGATAACTGAGAGAAATATAATTTTTATTTCATTTATATAACTGTAATGTGTTCTGTTTCATGACGTAAATGACATGTTTTAACATGATGAAACTCACTGGAATCACTTTAACTTACCTGGCTGTTTTTTGGAACTGAAGATATACAATTATCAAGGTGTTGCCAATGAAGACTACAATATAGTGAACACACCCGCGCCACATGGTATAACTCTTCATCTATCTTGCACCGTGTGATATGTCTTAAAGTTTTCGTGCACTTATGTTGATGCATTTTGTTTGCAATTATCTAGAGGGTTGATGAATTAAAATTAAGCAAATTCTTGAGTTTCTAAAATTTTTAGACTTCTGAAATGCCCTTTCAATTTCAGTGCAAATGCAGCTGAATAAAACTGTCAAGTGCTAAGTACAATGGATTTTATGCATTTTGAAGAACAGTATTTGCTCAACAAAGATAAAGTTGTAATTTGTGAATAGAACTGATGGAGATGTGGACATTGCATTTAACAATGTTTTGGTTAATGTACCTATGTCCATTGCTAAAAAGCTTCCCCCTTTGGGTTTCATCAATTCCAGTTGTTGAAGTAAAAACAGGATCTTTATTCCTGTGGAGTATCTGTTCAGTTACATCTATAACCTTATCTGTTCTTTGGATGGTCAGTTCAATTCTAGCAAATTACACCCCAATCTTTACTGTATTACTTACAGCAACAATCCTTTTCTTTCAGTTGGAAGGGACAATCCTTTTCCAGGATTATGCTTAGAAGATCAACTAGAAAGAAACTGTGTGTATTTTAGCTCATTAAGAGCCTCTTCGATAGGGTGATATAGCAATTTAAGTTCAACAGGAAGTCTGATATAGATATCAAGTTTCTATGAATGATAGTTGTTTCGGTAGAGGATTTGAGCTCGATCGTTGATATGATTTGAACAAGTTCAAATAAGTAATATCTTGACGAAATATAACAAGAGGGATGCAAGAGATGTAATAAGATATATTGTATTGTTTTACTTTTTGAAGAACGTGACAATGGAGCCTAATGATTTGACTTGTGGATACGAAAGTGCAAGTACCAATAGCTCTCTCAAATTCTTCTATACTTCTATTTCTCGTTGGTGATTGAAGTTGAAATTAAAAGCTTATTTGTGTGAGAGCAAAAGATAGTTGTTCTGAAAACAGATGATTAACAAAGAGTGGCTATAGTGTATACTTAAGCACAAGTTAAGCTCTAACAACAGCTAACTGAAGATGTCCGCAAGTCAATTAAGAAGGCTTGCTACGGTTATCTTTTCATATTTTTTTGCAAATATGATAGTGAATAGTTGGGATAGGGGACGTGGGGCTGACTTTAGTTGCCTATGTATTATAAAACTAAGTTTGACATGACATATCCCCTTGGTTGATTTCACCATGTGGCAATACTTGAGATCCTTTATCCTGATCAGATATCTGCTTTATGTTTTGATGTGGAACTTCATTGAGGTTGTTTGAAACTCTTGTTAGAGATACTATCATCCAGATACTCTTACTCTCTTAAATAGAAGACTTGTTTGCAATCATCAAAACCTAAGAGATTGAATCTCGTTAAGCCTAACAGTTGTTCTGACATCTGCACGTTTTTTAGAGCTGCAAGCACCGACTCCCACTCCTGCTCCCCAGAATGACATTGCAGATGATGACGAAGACGAACCTTTGAATGAAGATGATGACGACGATGATTTGGATGATGTGGACCAAGGGGCGGATCTGAACACAACGCATTTGGTTCTGGCACAATTTGACAAGGTAATTGACCTAAAGAGAGTTTTCCCGTTTGTTTCCTATGGTCCTTTGATGTGTTCTCATTCTTTCAGCTATGTTAATTCTAAAATGATAATATATCTGATGGATGCTTGTTTTATAGGTGACACGTACCAAGAGCAAGTGGAAATGCACTCTGAAAGATGGCATTATGCACATAAACAACAAAGACATTCTGTTCAACAAGGTGATTCTGTCTTGACAATAATTTTATTTACCTATTCCTTTCTTTTGATTCATATGCTGCTGCTCTTTACATTTTGTGAGTGCATCATCTGGAAATTTAGAATCATAATTTTGGTGCTCTGTTTCTTCCACAGGCAACAGGAGAATTCGAATTCTGATCCATTAGAGAGAGACTCTCTTCCCAGATGGCTGTTTAATATGGAGAAAGACCAGAGATCTCTCTATCTTTTATATTGTTGTCTTTGTTCTCTATTATTAAATGAAAACTAGAGAGGATTAGGATTGAGCCCTTGATGCTTTTCGGAAGGTTTCCTGCTTATGTACATGAAGACAGTTTTTGCTCCGACTGTCCTTTTTAAGTTTCGTGAATCTTATCTATTGAACTCCATTAATTGCACACTTGCTGTGACATATATTACTCATATCAAATTTTATTGAGTATATGAGATTTGAATTTCTCTAAGTTCGATATTGTAAATTCTTATTTCGTCAT